AGTTATTTATCCATGAAAATTTTATTAGGTTAGTATAAACAAAATCGAATATTTTATCTTTTATTTTATTTCGAGTATCCGGTTTTTTTAGATTTAAAACTACTATTACTATACAAACTATTCAACTGGAATATATTTATTTATATGATTTTAAGGTTTAATACCCTTTTTAAAGGACACAACAAATAACTATTGTTTTTAGATAACAGACCAATTTAACTTTCTGCGGAACAAACTTACTTAACCTTTCATGAGAATAAGTGAAGCAATCCACTTATCCAAATTCGCAGAACTTGAGAAACTCATTTGTTGACAGTTGGAATTTCGCAGGTAGTTTGAAAGCATAATCCGATAAAATAATGATGGAGAGATTCTGCAGTTAAATGAAGAATTGTTAGAAATTCCATGAAATAACATCATTTACTAAGTGAATTTTAAGCAAAGTTCTGCGAAGTGATTACATAGCATTGTAAGTAAATCTGATTATCAACCTGAATTCCCAGTCTGTATAAATCTGTGCGCTGCCATACTTCAAATTTTATATATATATATNTATTCACTTATTATATATAAAATAAAGAACTGTGCGAATCTTTGATGCTACCAAATAAAATACTATACATATTTTTATTTTAATTCTCTTCATAATTTTAAATGTATTGCTATACAGGGTTATTCCTAATTCCCTCCGGGGTTTCGAAGCGTTATAGTGAAAAAACGGAGACGAATATGGCAAAAAAGAACATATGAAATTATTCCGAAAGTATTAAAGTTTTAATTTGAGCAGTTACCGGTAGATGGCAGTAACATGTACCACTGAAGGCAGTTGTAGTAAAGGAAAATGGCGTTTACAGGAGGAGGGAATTATGAATGACCCTGTATAAAGAAGTAATTATGCATGATTAGGAACTTCTCTTACTTATAAAAATTAATAATAGTTCAATTTTTAAACTTTTCTGTATTTTCTTAACGATTAATTGAAAAATATTAATGATTTCTAATTACGATAACTCATATTTTACGATTTAAGGCAAATATCATATTTTATTCATTGACTTTGTCCTGATATAACTGGAAGTATTGACTGAGCGTAGTAAACAGCTTCAACCATTGTTTACCTAGAGAGCACACAACCAACAGAAGCATTATTGTTTTTAAAACAATCCATTTTAATGCAATGAAACTGCCCTATATGCAATACTATAATTGCTGATCTAGTTCTACCATGATTAATCTAATAAAGAAATTTTAATCTTGTAATCTTTCCCGAACTGTTTAATTAAAAAAGTGCCGACAATTTTTAGAATCTGGGTTTAAAACCACACATTGGAACTCCTGTTCGAATTTCGGGACGATACCATAATCATTACTGAATATGTGAGAAAACCACAAACTCTCTTTTTTATTACTCTGGACAATTTTAAATCAGTTTTACCTCTATTACAATTCTCATTACAAATATTATGAAATAAATTATATTTGCAACTAAAGCACATATTTTTACTTATAAAAAATTAAAATATACTTCTGACTTTGCAAGTTATTTGAAATTCTTTTTGCGAAAGAGTGTGGCTAATCAATATCTCGGAATACGAAGACCGATTTAAAAAGAAGTTCACAAGTTATCATCATGCTTCATTAAAAGAAAGATTAAAATCAAATCTTTTATAAATCATGCATATTTACTTACAGACTGCTATTTTGCTTACTGACTTAAAAATTTCTTTATTGCTTTATAACATCGGGATTAAAATAATATAACAATTTCTTTTCATATTATTGTTCTTAAATTTTTAGGGAACTTTATAAAACGTACAAAGAAGTTTCATAATGAACGAAATTGATTGAATTAAGAAATGTTCTTTCAAAAGGAATTGGATTACATTAAATTCTTTATTTGCTGTTAAAACCTAAAGGGATTTATTTTTACTTGTCTCCATATAACATCAAACATATTTGAAATTATAATTTGATTTGGTTCGTTGAATTTCCTTAAATTCTGTAAAACTAAAAGATAAAAAATAACTCTAATAGTATTTTATAGTAATAGGAAACTAAATTTTATAAAAGAAATATTAAGAAATTTTATTTTTTGAATATTAAATATCTCAGAAATTATAAATTCTTTCTAAAATTCATATTTCGTTATAACTCTGCTATTCCTTTATTTATTCGATGCAGTGATAAAGCAGATGTAGATTCAATCCTATTTATTGTCCTTTATTCGATGAAATTTAGTTTAGTTTAATTACTACTAACAATAAATGCAAGAATAAACAACTCCCCTTAAGGGTACACTATTACGCTGCTGCGCAGATTAAATTTCATCGTTTTCACTATAACAATATAGTGAAAACGATGAAATTTAAATTAATTCAAATATTAATAATGATAAATTTAAAGATTAAATAACTCAGATATTATAAATTCTTTCTAAAAATATTTCGCTATAATTCTGCTAGTTCTTTATTTATATACTGCAAGTACATGATAAAAATATTGTGCAAAAGAGGAAATGAAAATTAATTTAATTACTAATCATAAATGCAGGTGTATGATATAAATATAGTGAAAACGATGGAATTTAAATTAATTTGATCATTAATAATAATAAATACAAGTGTATGACAAAAATATAGTGAAAATGATGAAATTTAAATTGATTTAAATACTAAAAATAAATTTCAATATTACATATCTCAGAAGTTATATATTTCTTCTAAAAATAGATAGTTCTAACTTTGCAATTTATTTATTCGCTGCAAGTGTGTGATAAAAATATAGTGAAAGCAATGAAATTCAAATTCATTTAATTTAAAATCGTGAATAATCTTCCTATAATTTTGCAAGATAAAAAAAAGATGTAAGATAAAAAAAATTTTATATAAGGAATTTATATTTTTCTGCCAACGGAGAAAGTTGTAGTTATTCTTATCAAATTCCCATTGGTATTTTAGCAAGAAATGAGGAGGAAATGTTATTTTACAATTGTATTTCTCCCAATTGATTCAAATATTTAAATTCAGTTTCTAATTTAGTAAAATATACATTTTACTCTGTTAAAGAAACAAAATGTGTTTATTTAAGGTTCTTGTTTGGTGCATTACAATAAAAATATGTCTTAAACTAAATTACATGTTATTAGTTTTCAATAAAATCGACTTTCTATCTCATTTAAAATAATTTGTTGAATATCTTTCATTTCTGAAGTCGATAGGAAAAATAAGGCTTATAGTGCGTTAAATGACATTTGCATTTTAGTAGATACTTTAAAAATAACACGTTTCAAATAATTTCCTTTTTATTTTTCATTCTTTTTTTTATTTGAAAGCGAGAAATTGCGTTCGAAATAAGATTTATAACAGCATCCGCTGTGATTTTTGTGAAGACATTTAACTCAAATGAAATTAAAGAAAAATACTTCTTTCACTTTCTTAAAACTTCTACAAATTTGAAAGCGAAGAATATTTAATTCAAGGAACATTACAGTATCATCAAAATTTTTCTAAAAGCAAATTAATAAATTTAATTTGTCCTCTATTTGGAAATGCTTTCCCCTTAAATAGAAGCTAATTTACTTCATTTTTCTGCTAAATTGTTAAGTGCTTGAGCCATTTCTAAATATAAACGCTACAAAAAATGATTTTTTATGAACAAGTTTTTAAACGACATGATTTGACAAACCAAATACTGCTTTTTTTAAATAGAACTAACTCTTTTTCTAAGTATTATTTTGAAGTAATTGGTATCTTTTTACTTTATATTATTACGCAATAAAATTTTCCTTTAAGTCATTTTTCACGAAATGTATAAAGATTAAAAGAAAACTTTTTTTTAAATTTTTAACTATATTTTTAAGTTTTGTAGTTGTAAATTGTTACAATGACGTAATAGGAGCAATTTCCTACATTTTTCAAGTAAATGTTTTTTTCTTTTAAGTATGTGTATTTCTTTTTAATGCGAGCTTATTTGTAAATGTTTCCTCCCTTAATAAATGATAATTTTCTTAAAATATTTTTTAAATCTCCAATTCGTCTCTTATTACATGCTTTTTTTATTGACATCATCTGACAACCGGAATTTCAATTTATACTTTATATAAAAAAATTACTTTATACGCAAATAAATTTTAAATGCAATTTACTTTAATACATTAAAATAAACTTATTCATTTCTATCAAATTGTTTACGCTTTAAGATGCTGTAGAAAAGTTCATGCATGTATTTACATTTTTTAGTTGAAAAACACTCCAAATATTACAACAACAAGGACATAAAATTCATTTCAAATAAAACTTCGGTTACACAAATGTTTTTTTAAATGCTTAATTTGACCAGATGTTGCATTCTTTTATCTAATGAATTTAACTTAAATATTTAACTGCAACATATTTAAAAAATATTGTAACAATTGGAAAAATGCATAGTGTTGTAAAAATTGCATCAGTAAAATAGTTTTAGAAAAAATAAACATACGCTAATGATTTGTGCAGGCGAATTGAAATATTTTTAATAGTTACTTAAAAATTTAAGAAAAAGTGTAACGGACTGCATTTTTCAAATTTTAGGAAATTCTGAAGAAAAGAAATACGAAAGTGAAGGTAGTCAAGATATAAAAACAAAATAGTTAAATTTACGTTTCCAACACAGACTCGACAAAAAGATGGTCCTCCAACGTCAAAAACATACATATCAAGAGCTAAATGTATGAAAGAAATCCGTGACATTTATGAAAACAAATTATACACATCTTGGAAAGTTTTTATTTCAGTCTGATTTAACTATACACCCTTCAAGATCTTTTTTTATGGAAGTTCCCAGTAGATAATAAATTTGAATAACAGTCTCAAAGAGTGTTTCTCAGAAAAATAATGATCTTAAATACATTTGCAATAATCAATTAATGAGTATCTTAAAAAAACCTGTTTTGTTTTTTGTAGAAGATTCAAGTGCTATGAATGCGAACGTCACAAATCAAACAGTTGAAATTAGTGTTAAGGATGGAGTATATGGAGTTTATGGAGTATGGAGTTTATGGAGTAAGCAAATCGAAAGCTTACGAACAAGAAGTTAAGACAAGGTACGCTCATCATTACTTACTATTGTCAAATTCACTAAATGTCATTAATTCACTAAACTCTTCATGTTATAATACGTTCTTTGTAAAATATACCATTTACTAGATGGGGTGGGGTCTTTTGGATTTCAAAAACAAATAATCTAGATTCCGATACCTAATAGAATAAGCTATTTCTAACATTGTACCAAATTGTATTTCTAAAAAAATATAATGATCTGGATATTTTTTTCTTCTATCGTCGTTTGAAAGAACTCTTCAGAAAATTAAGCCCACTTGTAAATCATCTTCACAATATCTGCATATTACATTAACATATTGAAATCGGAATTCTTTCTCTTTGTGTATACGTCCTCCGGACTAGCACAATCGGCGGCCAGACAAGCAGCTGTTACTGATGCTTATTTAATGGCAGTGCTGTACTTAAGCAGAAACAGCTGCTTTGAGCAACTAACTCCCTTTAAAAGGATTCTACGAAGGAAGATAACCGTGAAGATGATGGAACAAAAGTGGATAATGCATAGGGGATTTTATGAGATATTCCCTAAGCCATTTAAATGAAATAATCCAAGTCTCGTGTGCTGAAATAAATGCGATTAAACTAGTCAAATACACGTGTTGCAGGAATTGAAGATGTATACTTCTTCTTTTGCATTGTCCCCAAAGAAACTATTTTGTGCATTGTTAAAAATGTTCTATTGAATAACCAATACCGAAAGAGAAAATATATTTTATCGGTAACAGTATACTAATTTCCAACTGTATTATTGTGTAATGGTATAATTATTTACTATTATTCAATGGTATTAATATTTTACAAGTAGTAAATACGTTTCATATTAAGATAAAAACAAATTTGCATATTTTATTTCTATGCTTTTTTAGTTTTTTTTTTCAGCGGGAATATAGTAAATTATTTTCTTTTTAAAAACACCTGGTTAATGCTTTCTTAATTGCTATTAATATGTAGCTATTTTCTTTAGTATTCTATAGTTGAAACATCTTGTACTTAGCTTTCCATATTTCATTGTGTACTGTTAGGTATTCCGGTGTATAGTCAGACTTGTTAACTACGCTTGCCGTATTAGTTTAAGATAGATACTTTTGCTTTAGTATAGTTTTTGAAAAATCTATTTTGTGCACAGTTTTCTGTGTTGCATTGTCTACCTATGCAAAAATAAAAATATATAATTATATAATATAAAGCTAAATTCACAAGAAATCAATTAATGTTTATATATTATTAAACTTTAAGTAAATTTTGGATTAGACTAAATTTGCATGCTCTTGTAGTTAAGAATTTTATTTCCTGTTGGTATTTAAAGCAGAATCATTTTTTTCTTTATTTTAGAGATTAGGAATTGTAACAATTTTTATTTTATATATTGCGATGTTCTATACTATAAGCTTATTTTATATATACGATGTTCTACACTAATAAGTTTAAATTTTAGTACGATTTAGTGTAAACAATTAGTACAAAGTTTTACGTTTAAAGTTAACTTTGCTAAAATGCAATGAACACAAATGGGCAATCTTCTAAATTTTGCTTCTTAACAATAAACTTTCCAATTAATAATGGAACAAAACTCATTTGAAGTGGCCTTCCCAACTAGATGAAAAGTAGCTCATCCTGTGAACCTAGTTTTTTAATATAATATCGATGATTTCTGATTCCATTCCATGAATAACTCCTGCAATATTACTATTAATGTTCAGAATTTCAAAACATTTCGAATATGCAGACTACTACAGAAAAAAGTCTAACAACGTCAAATAACTGCGTGGACAAATAACTGCGCCAAAATTGCTAATTATATTATTCTATTTAGTGTTGATTACTTGGAAACTGTTGTGATATGCCCCCGCCGTCGTGATAAAACACAAGGTTGTGCGAGTTCATTTAGTTAAATAATGTTCAAACAAATTCCGCTTGTAGCGCTGAATTACCTATTTGGCTGCAGTGGTACTACAAAAGCAGGATTTGTAGTTGAATGCGCTCTACAAGCATGGACTCACTTTCGTTGTCTACTACCATATCTGTATACCTGGTGTACATACAGAAGGTGATCTTCTCGTGTTTATCATGTCAGCTATTTTTCTAAATACTCCTTTTTTAATAAAAAACACTCTCTGCGTACTTTGAAAATGACTTTTTAATATTTACTTTTGCTGAACAAACACATGATATCCTTTTCATCAAAACTTCTGAGATTAGATACTGTGGCCCTGTCCATATTTAAAGTGTCAGACAGTTGGTAGGGTCAAAATAAAATGTGATTTAAGGTACTGAAAAATGGCCAAACCTCAACGTTTCTTCAGAATTTTTATTGTATATAACCGTAAGTGAAAAAAAACCCATCAAGTTCTTAAAACTTAACTAAAATTTAATTTTAAAGACAACAGCACTCTGTTTTAGAATTTTCCTAATATATGATTAATCTAAAAAAAAGGAATTCATACAAGCCTCCTTAAGCTAAAAATGCAACTTTTTAACTAAAATAATACTTTATAGAGTTTTTAAGGAACTTATTTGTAATAGTTTTAGTTTTTAGTGGAAAACTGTGGAAAATTCTAGTTTTGTATTAGTTTTTAGTGGAAATTTTCTTTTAAAAACTGTAATATTGGTCTGAAAAAAATTCTTCAGTGAACTGAGGGGAATTGGACAAGCTTTTTTAATACCGTCATTGATTTAAATACAAAACTCATTAATATTATATGTTTTATATCTGAAATAAGTTACAAATAGAAATATCATGATTAAATATGATTTATTAATTCTTGAAGCTATAAGTTTTTGTCCAACGTGTTGAACCTGCTATTTAGGAATAATTGAAATTAATCGTTACTAGTTTCTAAATTAAAACAATGTTTACATTTATACAAACATAATTTAGAGTTTTATTAGTATTCATCTCCTAATCTATTACATTCACTTTTACATTACGTTTGTGTTTTCTTGAACATTATGGAATACAATAATAAGTGACTCAAATCTACAATACTAACTTATGCAATGAAAACATTTGTGAACACAGATATTTTCGTTGGAACTTTTTTTAATTTTATTGTAGAAAATCTTTACGCTTTTAAAATAAATACAATAAAACTACTAAATGTAATAAAAATATCATTTTCGTTTCGTTAAGAAAAATCGATTTCATGGTTCTAAATTTTTTCTTATACAATTTGAAAGAAATGATATTAATCTTGCGTGCTTATTTCCAGAGAATATTAATATACATTTACTTTACGAAATTGTGATTACATTAAAGACATTTCCTTAACGAAGCAAGTTCTTCTTAAGTTAAAAATTAATATACCTTTACTTCACGAAATTGTGATTACATTAAAGACATTTCCTTATCGAAGCAAGTTCTTCTTAAGTTAAAAAGTATTTTTATAAGGTAGCCCCTTCCCCTTCACGTAGTCTAAATAAATATAACATGAATTTAACGATAAAATATTAAGATTTAGATAAGCATGGTTTTGAAATATTCAAACGATAAACGTTTCAAGCATAGATCAATTGATTTTTATTATAAATGTTTAAATTGTAGCGGAAAAAGTCTCGCGAATACCGAGGATTATGTATTTATACCCATTTTCAAAGAAGCTTCGAAAACTGAAATTCTAAAAACAGTAGATGCACCAGAACGGCATAGGCTTTAACGCCAGCTTGTGTATTTTTATGAGATTTAATCTTCGATAAGAACAGTGATGGTCGCTCTTTTTGATCGTAGTCATGCGAAAATTCCTGTTGACTTCCTGGATTTTCCCAGCGTGTTAAAGGGAAATGCAAATTTAATGGCGAGTTGGCACGCCAGCTTCTAGCTATAATAAAAGAGAATTCTCGAGATTCTGGGCATGATAAATTTCTTAGCCTAAGCCCAATGAAAGAATTCATTCTTGTATAAAATTATGCAATATATCTTTTTAATTGCGCGTTGCGTTTTCTGCTAAATACTTTTGCTGCTGCTGTTGATTGCCTTGGCTTGTAATTTCAAGTTGCATTTGAATCTTTTTGTTTCATTTCGTCTGCTCTTTAAATGTACCTTGAAAAGGTATTTTAAAACACTCTATGGTTTAAGTTATTAATCGATGTAACAAATTTTTATGAAAAGGATTTGAAATGAATAAGTTTTGAAATTTGATCTATATGGTAATATTTGCAGATGAGAACTGTCAAATAATCCATTAAGATTTTGCTGCTCATAAAGTGATGCGTGTAAAGGCACATTTATCTTCATAAAAGGTAAATGCTTAGTTCTTCATTTACTTTAGAGAAGCGTGTTTTGAGTGTTTTAAAATTTAACTTCGCTTTTACATCTTGCACTTTCATTGTAATTTTATTAATTTTTAATAATTAAACAGCCACGCGAATATACTTAGTGTATTTATGTTGTTCAGTAAATGTATACGTTACTTAGAACATTGTTGAACCTTATTGAAAATTGAACAGAAACGCATGCAAGGATAGTATATTTTCTCTCATCGCTTCGAGACTAGGTATAATGTTAAATGACAAACTGGCAAGGTATGAAATATGAATATTTCATACTTTGGAATGGTTGTGATTTACTATTATTTGTTAAAGTACGAGATCTATTGCATTTTTAGAGAAACAAATAGGTTTGCATTTCATTTTGTTTTATTTTGTATTAACCATAAGCCAGACTAACATCTAACCAGACTTACGAGGATATGTGAGCAATTGCCTAGTAGTCCATATACACTTTTTTATGCATGTACTTTACATTTTATGCATACGCATTACATTTTATACTTTTTTTATAAAGATAATATGTCAGGTACACAGTTTATAAATGTTTAGGACAAGCATTATTTTTAAAGTAAAAAGCGTGTCTGCTATGCATTTGCTAGATATTCCCTACACTAATGACGTTGCTTACATGTATTCGATTAAATCTGATTTTAACCACGTGGTTGGACATAATCACTTCACTTTTTCTCGAGTTTCTAGTTCCCAATTATACACATAT